TACAATCAAAAGTGATTTGGATGGGGATTCAACTGTCCAATCACAGTTAAATCAAATTCACGCTTTAACTGTAGGCACTTCACCTATATCATAACATGTGAAGAAAACATAGTTATTGGAACTGCAACCGGCCCCCTTTCGTGGCTTAGTTGTTGATGGATTCCAGTAAGGCTTTATGTAGCAGGACAGACGAAAACTCAGTAAATATGAATCAGGGTCGAGGGACGGGGCGCCGAGGGCTTAATCGCACACATTTATCGTCGCAATTAAAATCCTACTTCAGCTATCCGTAAGGCCAAGTTACCAATTTCTTTACTTGCCTGTCTAACGGATCGAGAGGAACGTCAAAATCGATCTATTAAGAGAGCCTTCGAAACCAAGCTTCTCTTCATATATTTTTAATCAGCCTGAGTTTAGAAAATAAATCATGATGAAGGAATGCCTCAATTAGCTAAAGCGAGGAAAATACCAAAGAAGGATAATCTCAAAACAGTAACTAGAGAAAAAAATGATATTACGTAGACTAGAGTAGCGCAATGTCGAGTCTCACATATGATTGTAAGGCCGAAAAAAATAGATAATAGGACTGCCGCATGAAATTACCTTAGGTACAAGATGTGGCATTACTGCTTTGCTTTTGACCGTAAGTAACTGGCGAAGACCATCCAGCGTTGCTGCATGCTGTGCCGAATCCTGTTGTGAGGCGTCAAGCTGAGCCAGCAAATCAGGCAGCAAGCCATCAATAGCACGTACACCAAGACTATTGTGGAGAAGATCGAAAGCTCGGGCTCCAGCACGCCGCACTTCGGGCTGATGATCAGAGATGGCGCGCCGGATAAAGACGATGAAGTCGCTGCTGTAGTTAGCGCTTGAGAGCTGAGACAAAGACATACCAAATATTGTAGATTATATGAATGAATTGTAAAAAAATAATATAAGCAGGATAATGAGAATGAGACAAAAGCCATAATTTCACGGTTTTTGTGATTCTAAGAAAATCTTTTTAAGAGTTAGTGATAACCTGTTCTTTGGTGCAATTTCTCATTAACTCAATCAGACCAGTGCAAACGCCTCTACGCTGATCTGTGATTTCGGAATCAAGACCGGCCTCCAAAATTGGAATTATGTCCGCAAGAATCCGATCGCCAAGCTTGCGCACAATATCACCGAGGGCGCGGGCTGCCACCTGAAGGAAGAGATAAAAATGATTATATGAAACGCATAATTAAATTACATAAACGGTGAAAGCGAATGATAACGCACTTAGATAACTAGCAATGGAAAGCTAAATAAGCATTGCAATGATTCAAGTACAAATCCAGTTATAAATACCTAAGAGATAATTTTGAAGTGATGAGCATACAAATGGGGAATAATGAAACTCTTACAATCTAAAACAATTACAAATAAATGAAAAACGTATAACTGGTGGCAGCAACATAGATTTGAATGTTGGGATCTCTTGGCATAAAATAAATGTGAAAATCCAACAAGCATTGCATTTGCAACATCTAAGGTTTAATACCAAAACGAAGCCAATATGCTATTTGCAATGTGAGATGCCATCCCAGCTGTATTGGCGGTGGAGCGAAATGA